TTCAAATAAAAATAAAGATTTGACAATATATCACTGCTACTGATCAGTGCGGTCACAGTTCAAAAGTACCGTTTTTTTTTTCATACGAAATCCGCTTTAAAATTAGACTTCATGTATAGAAAATATATGGAGTGGAGCTTTCTTTGTTCTTCTTGACTCCATATAAAGTGTATTTAACAGCAGTATCTGGTTGCATTTGCTACATTATAACTCTCTGTACTTGACAGGTTGTTGCGCCTTTGCATGACAGTGTTAAATACTTGACCTTATGCAGAATTGTCTTTAGGAGTGTAAACTGATATCTTGTAGCTATATTTAGTGCAAGCTGTCTTGCTCTTGAGCAAAGGTTTGGCTACCTTTCTAGATGAGGCTAGGAACTATTAAAGGGAGTTTGAATGACGAAGGTCACATTAACTTAAAAGACTAGGTGTAGAGAGTTAGATTACCAATCAAGAGTTGAATGACAGTTGTCAATCATCATTGTTTTGTGTGCTCAGGCAAGCATGGATGGACAAGTCATATCTACTCAGCAATATAAGCATCTGTTAGCTGTGCCGTCGTCCCCTGTGTTGGGCTATAGGTAAATGGACTGACTTTGATACAGTATGAGTTTTCTGTTTTTGATGTTGCGCTGTAATTGTAGTTGTTATTGTTGCTACTGTTGGCATTGTTCTTGATGCTATTGCTCCTCTTGTTTGTTTTGTAGTTGCTACTGTTGTAGGTGCTGTTGATGCTATTGCAATTGTTGCTTGTTGTTCATCCTTCACATTCTATTTTTTGCATAGTCATGATGCTGTTGTTCCTCAATCAAATGAAGAAGAATGTAAACCAAAGKCAATCAACTTCTCCAAACTTCTTTTGATAAGGTATATTACAATAAGGTATTAAATTTATCTCAAAGCTCAGAGCTTGCATTGAATAGCAATGATAAATACAGCATTTTAAAAGCCATATTGTATGTACTTGGTCAATAAACTTGAATAGTGATGATCATAGCAAATGGTCCTTTAGAATTGAATTATGAAGTGCCATGAATCAGGCAGTRCAACTCAACATGTTTTTGTTTGTGTGTCAGAGAACGTTTCCTTCTTACATGGATGGGAAATGATCTTTTTCTTCTTGATCCAGTTCTTGGTCAAGTGTCAGGATGGTATCATCTTGATATAGGTAATCATGGATAATTAATAATGATGATGATGATAATAATGATGATGATGATGATGATGATGATGGTAATGATGATGATGATGATGGTAATGATGATGATGATGATGATGATGATGATGATGGTGGTGGTGGTGGTGATGATGGTAATAATGATGATGATAATGATGATGATGGTGGTGGTGGTGATGATGATAATGATGATGATGGTGGTGGTGGTGATGATGATAATGATGATGATGGTGGTGGTGGTGATGATGATAATGATGATGATG